CCCCAAAACCCCAAAACCCCAAAACCCCAAAACCCCCTCCAACTAAATAAATGAATAAAAAGGAGATAATAATAATTCGCATTTAATATCGATTCAATTGCAGTTTTATACATAATCTCTGAGTTACAATACATAAACTGAATCAGAAGGGGGATGTATTGAATTTGAGTACTAAACATGAAGTGTTATCTTTAGATCCCTTGTCTATGGCACCTTTTACTATAGCCTAAGCTATTTCTTTGGTGTTGAATTCTTCTTTGCAATAATTAACAGCATCTTGGTCTTCTAGAGTGTCCCAGACTCCGTCACTTGCTACGACTAAATATTTATCAGTTGATCTGAGGATATGCTTTTTAATGTATGGCTTAGCAATCACACCATCCTTTTTAAGGGAGTGATCTCCAAATGCTCTAGTAATTGCGAGGGATCCTCCAACTCTATTGTCGAGTACAATACCACCTCCATTTCTTACTCTCTCTACCTCAGCTGGGTCAGTTGCTCTGTGATCATAAGACATACGCTCAGCGATTCCATTTTTACTCAATACAGCCCTAGTATCTCCAAGATTAGCAATGTAAAGCACTCTATTGCCCATTTCTTATCTCACCACTACTACACAAGCTGTTGATCCAGTATTATCTGCATCAATCAGTCTAAGTTCATTGTCAATCTAAAATCATGCTTTAAAATGATAAAATACTCTTAAAAAGACTTGCTCAAGGGCATAGCTCAAATCTCCGCTACATTTAGCTATTTCCTTTCTCATCTCCTCAGGGACTCTCTCTGCGCAATGATCAGCAACCTATCTACCTCCGTGCCCATCGAAGACACCAAATACACCTAGGAATGGATCTCCATTGACTTTATCTCTAGCAAAGTAAGCTAAATTAGAATAATGTCAATCATTAAGAATTCTTACTATCTTCCATTGATGGTCTGAATCTGAAGTTTTTGTCCTCTGTATAGGCATACTCCTTCACGCATGAGGCGTTTTTCTCATGAGCCCCAACTTCCTGAACTAAATTACCAATGGAAAAACTGCCTCCAGCACCGCCACTATTTCCCCAATCAACTCCTCCTCCAAATATAGGATTGTTTCCTCCGAAATGATATTGGTAAGAACTTTACATATTTACTTTCTCTGTATTTAAATTATTAAATTTATGTATTTTCCCTAATTTTTATAAAATTGTTTGAAATTTCGGGGTTTTGGGGTTTTGGGGTTTTGGGGTTTTGGGG